AGCACTGTAACTGCACTGCATTCTGTTGTTTCATCATCCATCCCTCACCCACCAGCCAGTTCAACCGAAAAACGTCTTAACTTCCTTTTCCTAAGAGGCTGCACAGCACTGGGCACACTGCTACGTAATCGCCACGTTTCAGGCCAGCAGCGGCTGCAGTTCTGCAGTAAACGACGTGCCCACCTCAGGCTGTGTACTCTGCAACCTTTGCCAGGGCTCTCTAGGATCCATCTCAAACACAACAGGAACCCACTGGGATGAAAAGCCCTTTCTAAATCTAAGATCCCCATCATTCAGTCAGAGCAATGGATATTAGCAAAATATGTTTAACTTTAAGATAACATTTGTTTAGCAATGACAGAATAAGGGTCCGTCTAAATTACAGAACTACATTCCATAATCCGTAAGTATTAAATCTTTCATTTCTCGGAACGGATGTGAAACCTTGTACATCTTGGAAGTATTTTCCATCTGCAAGGATCTTCAGTTCTTCTCTCAGACACTCTGCATGTAGGAGCATGATGAACTGATAACCCCTCCAAGAATAAATGAAGAGGCACCGTCGTAGAGGAAGTAAAGTGTGAAGAATGCTCTGAATTCCTTGCTCATGGAAAACAGCGACCAAACTCTTTTTGACATCAAGGAGGGCCTGGATTTCACCCAAGCTCCCTACGATACAACTGTCTGAGCTTCAGCTCTTGTCTCAAACACAATCTGTCCACGTGTCCAAGCAATTTGTGCAAAAGGAATGATATAAATGGAAACTACTCCACTGCACAACTTCAGCTCACCAGGAAACAAAAGCACGTGAATACTCAGCACAAACCACCTTTGCAGATTTACAGACCAAGGAGGCTAAAAAGTCAGGTCAAACACTGAGCAGGAAAGATAAAAGAGCTTCAGAATCTAACATTTAATTAAGAGTAAGACCTGGAGTCATAAAGAAGAGGAGGTTTATTTTCAATGGAGAAGCAAGCTGAAATACAACACAACAAAAATTGCTTAAAAACTACCAAAGCCTTAGCCAGCCATGCTGACAACAAGGACGTAATTGAGTTTGAGGTAAACATCACTAATTTACTTAATACAGGTTCTGAAGAAGATGGCATGTACATCACAAGGCTTTTATGATGGGCCTGGCTAATATTAACGTCTATTATAGCTGCTGTAATACACTGTCTGGAAAGGGACCGAAAGTGACAAGCTGCCAGGTGACAAAAAAAGGATTACTTTGAGGCGCCAATAATCTCAAACCCTTCCCCAAACCTCTCCCACTACCATTTCTCTGTATTTAGACAAAAGTTCAAAATCCAGAACTATGCCTGCAGCCATTTTTATTCAATTATATTTCATGGGTAAAATGTTCAAAAGTCACCTATAATTTCAGAAAACAAAATCTCTGAGAGCACACATATTGAGGGACAAACTGCTGAACTGGCTGTGCACAACTTTCACTGACACCTCTTGCTCAGTGCGTCAAAATATGCTATTTCAGCCTCTGTCTAATTGAGGCTTTAGAACTCTGATTTTAAGGGGACACAGCTCAAGGATTTTCAGTAGTTTGGCTGCAGGACATAAACACCTTTGGGGGCTTGAAGGACATAAACACTTTTGGGAGCTTGAAGTCTGCACTTAGGCTTTTGGGAAAGAATCAAGTCAGAGGGCAAAACAGAATTGATGAGAAAAGCAAAGGTTCTGTCTTTAAGCTGAAAGGCTTTAAAATACTGCAAATAATATATAACCACCCACACTAAAATATCTTATCTAAGTCAGTAAATACATGTACATACCCTAGGCCTGCAGCCATGCTAACCATTCCTCTCTTCTGTGTTTCACCCCCAAATGAATGTTGTTCTCCCTTCTTTCATCTCACAAAAGCAGAGCATCTTTTTCTTTTGCTGAAGAAATACAGATGCTTGTATCTTCAATATAATGCATTTTTAGTTCTTGGGGTATGAGGTTTATTTTTCCATCACCTTGTGACTACCAAGAAAACTGACTCAGTTCAGTGATCTAATAGAAAACAATCTTTGTATGCTCATTTATTTTTTTAGATAAATTCCATTACTAGTAGCATCATTATTATTACCTTATAAATATTCAGGCTCCCGAGTTCAATGAAATAAAATGTGTACTTCTTCATGCCAAAATCCATTCCAGGTGGCACTAGTCTACAGGCTGGAGTCTACGCGAGACAAGCATCCCCATTCAGCTTACTCCAACACCATTTAGTCAGTGACACTCATGATGAATCTGAGACGCCTGATCACACAGCCTACTAAGGCACATTAGGAAAACTCAGCTTCAGAACTGGAGAAACCCAATGGTTGGAGGCCAAATCCTCAGCCTGGGAGGCAAGGGAGAGCAGTGCTGAGCTCTAATCTGAAGGACTATTGAGTTCAGTACGATGGGAATGCAAGAAGCGCACCAGAGGGTCAAGAGGTGCCACTGACTGAAGGGAAGCAGATGTTTGGCAATAGGATTCCAACTAAGTGTTGATTAAAATTTCAACTTTTCAATTACAAGACGCCTGTCTGAAGTGCTCAGAGTAGTCTATTTAATTGTTTTCTGCCTCTGGAAACCCCAAGAAGGAAAAACAGCTAGTGAAAAATTTAAAGCCTTCAACACGGAGCCCAGAAACTCACAGAAATCTTTACCTTTTAATTTTTAGGCAACAAAATTTGCTTACCCTTCTAACACTAGTTACCACTACAGTGAATCAGAGATGCTACTGACAAAGTAATAATACAGAAATTTACTAGAACTACTGATTACTCTATGTTAAGACAAGAAAAGATTAAATGAAGGTGAAACCTGTAAGGGGAGACCCTTGACATTCAAACCCAGTTGCAAGGAACGACTGCTATCTCCTGTAACAGGAAAGGTGGAGAGAACAGGCCTGAGCATCTGACACAGTTCTCAGGAAGTGTGGATGACAAAAAGCCTTGGAGATACTGACCCTACATCACATGTTATCTCAGTTTCTGATTATTAAATCCTTCATCTTTTTGAGCATGTGTATTGTAATAGAATGAATACACAGGAACCTGTGTCTGAATTTGCCCAGTAACTTCACAAGGGGAAAAAAAAACATTAATCAAGGGGAAAAAAAGTGTAGAGAAAGGGAAGTGGTATATATTTCAAACAACACTTGAAAACACTTTTAAAGTTTCCCTGCCTTTTGCCATGTAATTTATTTAACAACAGTTATTCATATTAATTAGGCTTTAAAATAGAGAGATCATAAAAGGGCAAGGGCTTGTTTTTCTTTTCCTAACTCATTTTCTTAGATCTTGATCTATGGAACAGATGAAAACACAGTTTTTTTTAATAAGTAATTCAGTAAGTCGACAGCTCTATTCCAAATAGTTATATATCAAATGACATTCTAAATAAGCATTGTAATCAGCAACAGATCAGTCAACTGTATCTATTTCAGATCTTCAATTCCAAGATTATCTGCTTCATATTTTATTTGGTAAAGCCTGTAACATAAGGCACATGAAGGGATCAAAGAGTAAAACAGAACAGATCAGAGAGTGAAAATAAGCACTATTATCAAAATGAAACACTATTATAAAAAGGTGCTAGGGAATGAAAAAAGGGTAAAGCAGAATTCTAATGAAAGACATCACGTTTGCTGCTACTTGTCTGTTTTACAAGGAAAAAAACCACATCTTTGTTTTGGGGGAGTACACATCACCTTTGAGGAAATACACCAACTTCAATCTTTACAACGTCAAGTAAACTTCTAATCAAGAAAAAACAGGTGTGATTCAGGATTTTTTTACTGCAAAATCCCCCAACTGCAGGTTGTTCTCCAAATCCAAGCCAAATTCCACACCTCTTTCACAGATTTTACTCACTCCTTATTTGGACTAACTCCTAATCAGCTTAATAGTTCTCACCTCCTCCAATCCTTTTACCACTCCTTCATTTCAGCAACAGTTTGCCAAAGGTTGTTTTCAGGTGCAGACTTGGCCATACCTGAGCGGACTCTCGTGGTGCACAGACACAGGGAAGAAACCCCCGCAGGTGAGGCAGTCATCTCTGCCGACCCACAGTGCAGCACGGGGCCACCTGCTCAGAGTAAAGCTCTCAGAACCACCCAAGAAACCTCCCTGATCATTTTCTGTTACATTTCAGGCTGTAGTCTCACAAAAGACTTCCGATTTGAGGATGTGCACCCAGATAAATCAAATTAAAACCAGGAAAATCTGAAAACTGGCTAAGATGCACTATTGTAAAGTACAATCAACCTGCTTGTTTGGGCAAATACAACACCTTGGCACATCTCCCAAACTGCCATTTTACTACTCCACGCACCCCCCCTTCTTCTTCTTTTTTTCTGCTTAAATGAAAGATTATCAATCCCCAGAATCCACATACAAGAGACATATATACACCATACAGAGCTCAGTGTTAGCTACGACAGTACAGAAACAGTTAAAAAAAAAAATAAATACATTCTGTATCCAAATTACTGGTTTACTGAAATCAGATTCTTGGAAGTTATCCCTCAAATAAGATAATCTTCAAACAAAATAAGGAACAACTTTTATGCACCATCAATCTTTTCTGCTTAAGTTTGAAGCAATCTACCTTTCCATTGCGTAAGAGAGCGTGAGAACACTGAAGCAAGTTTCAGACCCTAATGCAAACTTCTGTTAAATACTGAGCTGGGGACAATGCTAGCAGATGTCTCAATGCAAGTTCTGGCCTCGTAATGATAAATTATGCTGTTTGTAAAGATTTTAAAGACAACTACCAACTTTTTGTCTTCTTTCATCTTCTTAACTAACACTAACCTGGGCAATACACCGGGGGGTTCCTGAGCCTACCTGCACTCAGAATGACTGAGTTCAAAACTGGATCATCCCAATTACCCATTTCTACCCATCCATCCAATATGCAGAATGCCTCTTGCCACATAAAACGCTGCATTAAAACGTGTTTTCAAACTCATAACCTACTGCACTCTACAACAAAGCAGCACTTACTGCCATTGTCGTCAGAATCCTCACTGCTGCTGGGAAGCCGTCGTCGTTTCATGATCTCCACGGGAAACAGCAGGCAGCCTGCAAAGCAATGAGACAGCACTTAACCCGAGATAATAACACCACAGTCATCAAGTTGTGTTTGTGATGGCATTCGAGGATTTACAGCACACAAAGGAAAACAAACAACTTTAAACAGCATCTGAAATATGAACAGTGAATATCTCAAGGATGCTTAATTAGGCAGTCATCATCCAAGCAGGTGAAGAAAACTGGAGAGCATCAATAAGCCCACCAAGACTTTCACCCCAAAACAAAAACATAGTTTGTTGTGAGAGGTCTTGAAATCACTAAGAATCTGCAGTCAACACGCTTAACTTCCCCTGCTCACTCTGACACTAGATTTGCAATACAATAACATTTTTACTGCTCGTGTAAATATTTACTTTGGCTAACATGTTTTTGGAACCATTTATTCCTGCTTAAAGTGCCAGATTTACAAAATCAAAGATTAAAATCATCCACTTACATATATAAAAAAAGAAACATCAGCAGTAGCAAGCCAAGTCGTCTCAGATTAACTAAAGATGTGTCATCCGTGCCCTGCAAGGCACCACCCCCTAAGGTAAGAGAGTTACTTCCTCCTGCAGGCACATTTCCCACACCAAGCCTAACACTAACTCTTCTTCAGCAATCAGACCGCCAAGCCAGTACTCACAACCTCCTCGACCTCTAGCAATACTGAGTTAAACTGAGTTCAAGGCAAAAGGTTCCCTATCATTTTAAATGCTATTCAACAGGGCGTTGGGATTTCCACATGTATTCTCTGTGGAACGAAACCAAATTGGGAAAAATTAAGGAAGCTGCAAATAGCTAGTCAGCATTTATATGTAAAAAGCTATTACAAAGTGTAAGTTGAACAGCAGAAAAAACATGACAAGACAAGTGCAGAAAGGCACATCCACTTTAAGTTAAACTGACAAGGACTCCAGATGCACATCAAATCCCCTGAGTCTTTGCTTACCAAATATCAATTGTGATATCAACAAGGTCTGGGTGTTCTGCTCGCAGCAAAGCCCTCATACGTACCTCTGGGGCACTGATTTTGAAATCAGATGCCAAAATACTTTTGTGCTTCTAGGTCAGTGCAGAAAATCAAACTCCCTCATTTTCACGTGAGTTGACATTTCCTAGAAACCTTTCAGCAACACTCTTTTTTCAGTGTACATTTACTACTTCAACTTTCCTCACTAAGAACACATCTCATTACAGTAAACTCAATAATGCTTTAAACTTCTATAAGACTAATTCGTCAAATAGGGAAACCCCAAAAGCTTAACCAAAGCCTAACACTATTTCCAAAAAAAAAAAGCACAAGAATATTTTCTCTTCCAAAAGTGATTTATATAAAAAAGATATAAGCGTTTTTTGAGGAAATTCATTTTATCATCACTAGCAAATCACAAGCAACTGAACGTGAGACTACTTTACACTTCCAGTGAATTCAATATAGTTGTAAGAGCCTGAGCACTGCCAGATTGCCTGTGTTTTCATATTACACATGCAAACAGAGGTAGGGGGAAGCCTCCCTCCCACAGAGTGGCTTTCCAGAGTGGTATTTAATACGCCTGTCTTTGAAACATGTAACAGTTTAGAGCTGCAAATTTCGCTCAGGAAAGGTAAAGAGAAACTGAATGGTTCACTTCACTACTTTGTCACCAATTCATCGAGTAAAAGTTCACACATAATGTCTGATGCCAGAGAACAAAGAATCATAAATGACAACCTCTTACAGTGCTAGAGGATTCTCTTTGAAGCAGACCAGAACTTTGTGTGTACGGCAGACAGGAATGCTGCCAATGAATAAATACACAGACCAGCCTGGACCATCAAAATCATCTGCATGCAGATGATGGAAATGTAGTAGATCCAGAGCCAAGTTCTCATTCAGTCACTTATACAGACCAGAAAGCCAACATTCAGATCCAAAATGGGCTTTCTGTTGGACCAGAAAGCCAACATTCAGATCCAAAATGGGCTAAGACAACTGAAAAAACAATTAGCTACTACAAGGCCAAAATCAGAGGGATAAATATTAATTCTGTAAGGCACTTTTTCTAGTAGTTTATATACTTTTCCTGTAATTGAAAGAAACATTAACAATATCAATGTAAAAGAACATACTCATTTAGAATGGAAATATCTCCCATAAACAAAGTAAAAAGAATATGGAAGAAAATAAAGAAAAATTACATTATTTCAGAAACCTAACTTGTATATTCCTGGTCAAAATCCTCACTTCTTAGTTCATTCCCACATGGTCTGAAAAGTACTATGCATCGCAAAGCCAAATAACATTGTGTATATATACGGTCGCACACTCATTAGCTTGCAATGAGCAAGAAAATTCAAAATTCTGCTCCTCCACATCCTTTTGGATGAGCGTATTTAGAGCTTACCTTCTCCTAGTCACACTCTGCAAATTCACAAAATAAGGAAAGACCGGGAAGCTTCTCCTTCCTACCATGTGTCTTTAAAAAACAAACTAAAACGTTTTTGTTGTTGTTGCTGTTTAAAGTAGAGAGTGATATTCACACCTCCCAATTCAAACACTCTGCACAGTTCTTCAGTAAGTAGGAGAAGCCAGAACAGAAGCCACTTCCCCAGAGCACAGAGTATTTGGTAAGGCAACTAATTTCCTTGTGCACTCTAGTTGGGTTCCTGAAGTTGGCTACACTGAAAAGCCCACGTTCTCGAAAGTAGCATTAAAAGAAAAAACCCTTTTGACGAAGCTTCTGTGAGATTCCTTCATAGATGCATGTGAAAAAAGAGTTAAAATCAAGAGATCTCATTTTCCCATCTTTGAACCTAACCTGAGTTTTCAGAGAGCTAAATCACAGACAGAAAAGCAGCATTTGGCTTCAATAGCAACTCTCAAATCTCCTAAGATTAACCCCCTAGAATTTTTGTCATTAGAAGTAATAAAACAGCCTTTTCAACCTCTAAAATCATTTTAAATTGTTCCCACCAGATGTTCATATCCACAGTTCAGAACACATGTTCTAGAGATAACACCAGCTAGTAAGAATTACAACCCCACAGATTGAGACGCTGCTGCTCTGAAGGGTATCACAGTGCCTCTGCCTCAAAGACTATCAGTTTCTATCAGGTGATGATGACCTCAAAGTCACACAAGAACTGCATTAAAAATAAACACAGATTATGGATAGTGATGGTTAGGTGCAGGCTTTCCCTGCTCAACTACAGACACACACGTTTTTCCAGCATGTGCAGAAAACACTGTGAATTCAAGTAATGCTTTTTTAATCTTCAAGAAAAAAAAAACAACCGAACTATAGTAACTCCTTCTTCATGGGAGAATCCTTAACTAAAAATAAGGAGGTATTCTTACACTGACAAAGGCAGAATGGAAAAACTATTAAACTTTTCAGTAACATTACTCATCTCATTCTCTTTCCTTTCCTAATCTGAGATTTGAGTGCCAGCAATATTACTTTTCTTTGAAAGTCTCACTTTTGGCAGTCATGAAAATGTCGGTATTTTTCACTGGACTTGACTTTGACACACACTTAATACACTCAGGTGAGAATACAATGCATTTGACCCAACTCTGATTCATTAAAACATATTCTGAAACTGAAGTAGGTCTGTCAATTTCAACAGGTCAGACGTAAAGACAGGTTCATCAAGACTGGTTGTGCCCCAGATAATTTGATGGCACAAATGGGCTACGATCACTATGTCTGTAAGCAAAGAGATTCACACATAGGCATAAAAAGGGTGGAACATTTAAGCCAAGCTTTAAGATTCATACCACTAATGAGTAAAAGTGATGCACTCAGCCTGCAACACTTGCAGGACAGGAAGAGACCACCCAAATTACCAAGCTCATTTCCCAACAACTGCCTGCAACCACCAAATTGCTGTTTAGTCCCGATGTTTCCACAAAACACTCACTGCACCCACTCAAACCACAAAAAAACTTCCCAATCCCCTTCACAAAATGAATGCTTCTCCGAAGCAAGGCCAACCAAACAGTGCCCTTCAACCTCGTCTCTTCTATGACAAACAATTTTACAGCTGTTTTTCCCAAATTCTTACACCAGCCCCAGAAGGGCATTTGCCCACATACTGTTCACCTGCAGAATAAGTCCAGCCCTTAAAAAGCTATGACAGAGTCCAGCAGCCTTAATGTAATAAAGGTATCACTAAGCCAAATATTCCTTGAGTTCCCAGTGACATGTGTAAACACCTAATAACCCAGCGACTTCTGCACATCCTTTCAGTTTCATTTCCTTCAAACATGTTTGTTTGTTCTTATTAAAACCATCCTTTCAGAAATCGGAGAGGGCAACACACAGCATGCTGACAGTTATTTCTCCTGAGGACTCAATTATAACATTTACTCATTTACTGGGGGACTCGGGCAAATGCCAGCCTTCAACCGAACACAGCTTTACAGACACCGCCATACTCCGCTGGCGTTGTTACCCCACTGCCAAGGTTGGACAAAACATCTAAGAGGGCTTTGTGCAATCACACCGCTGCCATCAGTGGCACGGATGGGGCAGAGGCCAGGACTTTGTAGCCACCCAGTCCCCTCAGACGAGCTAGCCAGGCTGAAGGCACCGTGCTTTACCCGAGACACCTCACCCGTGGCTCCTCCACCTCTGAAAGCCAAGCCCTGGGCTTCACTCATTGATTAGATACAAACTTCAAACATACAAACATTATTTCTGGACTCACCTGGTACAATTGCTCAGATCATTTTTAAAGGCAAGACTGCAATGCCTGAAATGTTTCTTCTGGCACTCTATTTTGGAGAGAACACTAAGCCTTTTTCAAAATACTTGTAAAGTGCTATGCAAATAAAATGATTAGATGATAATCCACTATAATCAATGTCAGGCCACAAAATAACATCTGGATTTACATGTCCTTATGGAGGTGAGCAACGACCATCTAACTCTACACAAATAATGAGACAGAATTCAAAAACCAGACATTTCTGCCTACGTCCCAGTATTCGCAGGCAGAGCCAGCACAATGGGTTAGAATCCACAACATGACACATACAGCAAATTCACCATTTTACCAGTACACACTATCATGCTCCTCCACTCTTAACTCTACAAGAGATTAATTTAAAAGAACCAACGAAACCCAAACCCCACACTGGATAGCAATGCCAAGATCCTTCCTTTTCCTTTTTTTTGTCCCACACTAAAGTCCCAGGAGTTGCACAGACACAAGTGAAAAAAATTGGAATCCTTTTTCCCAGCTTCCTCAGAGCAGAGATCCAGCCACCACCCCATACAACTGGCACTGCAGTGTGCACACACACCCCCCCCCATGTGCAACACACCAACAAACTTCTAATGCTACTGCTGTGCAGCTAAGAACACCACATACTTTTTCACTCTGTTTGACCCCAAGTAGAGCGATGATCAAAGAGAAAGATGCAAAGTGTGTCAGTCTTTGTTATGCAAATAGCTAAACAGAACCAGATTTTTAAAAATAATTATACATGAAAAAATCTACATCCTCGGGTCAAAGGTTTTACAAAGCACAATTCCTACTACAGTATTTTTAAGGGCTGTATAAACCCCTGGGTAAAAAGAGTGTATAATTCAAACTCTGACAGACAATTAACTGTAACCGTGTTAACGGGTGTCACTATAATAAACTGCACTGAACAGCTGCAGAGACAGAATGGGAAGAAAGCAGAATTATGACAGATGTACACCCTGAAGACAAACTGAAAAACTGGCTTTTCCTGAAAGGAACCCACTAACTGCAATGAAACTAAGACCCAATTATCTCTAGTACAGGAGAAATCACTTCAAAACACTTATTGTACAAATGGAAGAAAAGTGTGACATAGTGTTAACGAAAAGGAGA